ATCAGGTGACTCTTATACCCCTACAGTTTTCAGCCAATCACGAGTTGACCGATGACCAGCGAATTCTAATATGATTTTTTCTTGTCAGATTGAGTTAAACGCTTATGGGTCATAACGTTCCTCTAGTTCCCCTTGCCAAGTGTTCAAAATAGACGGATACACAGCCGTCGGCATACATGTTGGGACTGAAACGTACTGTCTTTCATCGTTCAGAACAGACGAAAAACTCGAGAACAGGATATTCGGCAGGGATGTAGCTTGAATATGGAACAGCTGTTCTCGTTTGGAGCATCCAGTGAACCGGTATAAAGACTAATGGAGCCTGTGGACCTTATTTAAGTTATTCTGAAAGAACCTCAAATTTTCAACCGAAAGATACATGGAGTTTGTTTTGAATGAGTGCAATGTCAAAGTGTGCTACAGTCCAAATGAAGGTCATCCCTGAAAGTGCAATCGACAGATCTGTTTGACTCATGAAGTCGGGATTACTTGTGATCCCACCGCAGGATTTACTCTCTTTCAGCACCATGGGTGCAGTTGTCTGTCAACTGTCGTATCCCGACTGCGCGTGCAGACCAACGAAATCCATCGTACTCGTTCCGATTCACCCGAATCTCCTAGGCATTCTATGTTCCGTCACTTTATGTGTATATGCATCAGCTCATGCCGATTTTTATCCTTCTTTCTTTAACCCTTTCCTTATCGTATCACAGTCACTGTGGTAGATTTTCAGGGCTTACGCTTTATCGATCTGGATGTAGTGTTCATTGGGTTCATTGAGTGGAATAGTTGCGACCGTTTGTACTTGAACTGTAACTTGAACCTGTAGACAGTCATGCATCAGGATAAATTTCTTTATAAGACGAATTCTCCTGAAATGTCTTGGGAGCGTTCTCTGTCAGCTAGGACTGAGTGTTGCATCTGCAATCAATGACTCCTTACCAGATGAAGTCAGGATGAACCTTTTTCCATTGTATCTCCTCCCTGTTATCCTCTATAACTTCCTGTTCCTATATAGTTATCATTCTGAGGAGAGGACACCACAAGAAAAGACATTACTTTGGAATGAATGACTTCTAGTAGGTGGATCTCCGTACATCTCAAAACGTTCCAAGGTAGCAGGTTACCAAACGCAACTGCTTTAGATCTTGCTGTAGTTCCACTTTTTATGGCATTCTGTCTTGTCTCTTACCTCAAGAGAGACCGCTTCTCAGGAAATGCCACCTGTCTCTTCAGGTGGTGCAGCAAGAGAAGGGTAACAGTAGCATGCTGGATACAAACACAAAAAAGTTGCACGAAGGCGGCTTGCTGAAGTAAGCCATTGACACCTTTTGAGCCTTATGACAGGTCATCATCACTTAGCAGAGCCAATCAAAAGCCGCCTCTTCCATTACCATTAAAATAGCGTTTAGCAGATCAACTTAAAATTCGTCTCATAGTTTCTCGCTTATTCAGTACTATCACAAATTGATGTGTCCTTGTCAACCATGGTCGATAAGGACATAGTTGAACTACTACGGTGGTGTCTCGTCTTTTCATACGTGAAAGTTCGCATGAGTTTTTGTCTCGTAAACGCCCTGCTTAGTATTTTTACCGCAGCATTACCGCATGATGTGTTTCTATACAGCAAAAGGTTGTTGTTATTGGCCTTACTTTTACGTTTGCTCCACGAGATTCCCCTTTTGCGATACCATCCCAGAGGACTAAGCACATTTGCTCTCCGCTGAGAGGTGTTCACTTTTTGAGGACTTGAAATTATATTTGTAATGAACTACTCCTGAGGTTACTAAAAATTTGTCGACAGCCCACGACTGGTTTCGTCCTTCGTGGGTCTCATCAGGTAGGCGCAGTTCCCGAGTTTCCGTCAACCTTATGTTCTACTTGAAACCAAATTGCACGAAATTAGCGAAGTACACTCATTTGCAAACTAGTTTGGTTTTTCGAGAGACTGACCAGGAACCTAGCTGAATCTCTTGTTTGTGATGTCTCTAGGCAACTGAATGTGCTGCATCAGGCCTCATGTTTCAGTCGCTACGATATTCGAGATATCGCGATGCATTTATATTTGTACTGCACTATTCATAAGGTTGCTGAAAATTCGTCGACACCCTACGACCGGTTTCGCCCTTCTTGGGGCTTATCAGGTAGGCGCAGACTTGAAATTACTTCCAAGGGGTGAACTAAAAGCTACCTGACTTAATTATTCATGTTTCCCTATTACTCTAACTAATTAATTACCCTTTCGGTGACCGCTCAAGTCTGAAGACTGTACTATCATATTTTATACAACGTCGATTCTGTATTGACTGTCTTTCTGTATTAACTGTTTTCATGACTCCATTTATTCACATTCACTTCTGCGTTTGTGGTCGAGCATTTTGTTCCACTTTGAACTGCACAACATTTTCCCGTTTAATTTGTCCGATGGCACGCTCCCCTTTCTGTACCATACTGTGTTGGTGACTGCCAAGGTTCAATCCAGCCGTAAGCTTTCCTTTGATTTTGCACATTATTTTCTGGTAATTTCTTATAGAACCACGGCCTACCTATCTATACGTTTGCCCACGTCTAAATCAATATATTGTTTTCTGCCCATTGTCGACTACTGAACAAACGAAGGTGAAGTTCGTAGAATTCGATTTCGCCCGCAGTTCTTACTGACCGTCCCTCGTTACCCGTCAGATAGGACACCTAGATCGTGGGTTTAGGCTAATTAGGCTAATTAATCAATTCCTTACTTTGAGATCATGGTCTTAGCACAAGACCGTGTACTCTCCTTGGCTAGGTCTCTTCAGAAAGAGACTGCTGTACGAGATTCTTTCGTTAAGAGTGTCCGCTATGAGAAGGCAGGGCAAATATATAAATCAAACTAATGTGTCGACCTTTTACACCATATTGCTGAGAGCTATCTTACCCATTTCTCTGTATCCTTAGCTAACTCTGCCCTTACTTATTTTTCTCCATCTAGGAAGGTAACGAGAGTCGCAGGCTTGTAAGCACAAATCTGCCGACAGAGGCCTCAAAGTTGGGTCTGCGAATGAGACTCGTTGATCAGAACGCGGCACACATTGGTGAACTAGAACAGCGAATACGTGGAATGGTATGTTAACTTTGCACTCATCATTTATGAAACTTGTAGAGAGTGGTTTTTATTGTACTCCTTACAGTGTTACCCAAAGTGGGGTATGTTTTGAGGACGGGCCATTCCATGGACGAATAATCTCGGCCAAATTTTTAAAGGATTTCACAGCACTCGGGTCAATGTCCACCGTCTTCGTAGAAAGCGCTTAAGTGTGATTTTTGCTTCCCAGGGAGGAAAAATCCACAATTTTGTTGTTGATTAGAGGGGGTTTGTTCAATTGCCACCGAGCATGACAATCGACCTACAAATATTTCAGCATCAGCTAAGCAGACATCATCAGTGTATGGTTTGGTGGGACGAATTGAATATTGTCAACTCCAACTTGGCTCCGAGACTATTCGAACTGTGTTCAACCCATTTGATCAAACTTAACAATGATATTAGTCTGAAAACTAGCTAGCCTCTCTATCAGTTCGATCTTCCTATCACACTTCCTCATTGTCACCGTTTATTTTTTGACTTTATGCACCAACTGCCTATTTTACCATCTTTGCTTTCCATTTGCTCGTTTTATTGAATGGTGTATGGAACGCTAAGGGAGGCAATGCGATCAAGTGACCTCCCAAGGTGAGAGATTTCCACTGCAAATTTAGTTTGCAATTGCGCGGCAAAAATATACACAGCATGCTGTTCCTGGAAAGGTCAGTGAAGTTTGTGTTGCAAAATACATTAATTAGAAACTCACTGGAAACACACTAGAATAGCACCCATTTTGAGAGGTGCTTTCCAAGATTGAGTTGCAAGGTTCAATGCGTTTTTTCACTAGTTGACAATCATATCAAATTACGTCGTTTGTACTCAGATGAATTTGAAAGTAAATGAAAATTCTGTTTTGAAAGAAACGAGACCGAATCAAGCAGAATGCACGACTAGCCTGAATATAAACTATTCAACCCATCTAACGGCCATGCGTTTCTCGCAGTGGCAACAATCGTAGCTCCTGCCGGTCACTGCGGAATTTCGACACAAGTTGCATTGCGCTGATGTTAGGAGATAAGCCCAAGCAAGGAACGCGGGGTAGTTTGACAAAATATATGTAGCAAGGTCTTTGTACCACTTTTTCCAGCAGCTTCGTAGAGTGATTTTTCATCGAACAAATTTCGCCTCTAGGAGAATTCAAAATGTTTCCCATGGTGACTGTTTTGCCGAAATCTTGTGCTTCAATTGATCGATAGTATTGCATACTTCCTCCATTGTATAGTTCACCGCTAGGCTAATTCACATCAGCTTTTAGTTTGATTTTTTTCAGGGCATTGGTTTCTGTCTTCAGCAAATTAAACAGGTGCAGTGCTCACTTTCAACTTACAAACAGCCCTTAGATGAGAGGAACCTGAATCCTCTTTTTGCTTTCAACCGGTGGTTCATCGTTTCATTCAGTTACGATGATGCACCTTGTCGAACACGATTCTTGGGGTGGAAAGAATGATTAAAAATGAGGCTCCAATTTCTATACAAGATATGCAGTAAGGAAACAGCCCTAGGAACTGCCGAGCATAGAAAAATTATCAATTATTCCGGGAATGCTTGTAAAATATTTAGCACTAGGGATGAAGAAGTTTATTTACACATAAACCTACACGTATTTCGAATATGCTATGGCATTGAGACGATGGTCATGGTTAGGGTAACGGCAGCTAATGGATGACTAAACTGTCCAGCTCAGCGTTCCTAACCTGAATAGTGTGTCCCCATTGTGAGGAAGCCTCCAGTGAAGTTGAAATGGATTTTCCCGTTGGTGTGGTTTTATGTTTCCGCTGCTGGGAATATATTTCGGTTCATCTACGAGGAATGTTCGGTTTTCACATTAGAATGTTGCGACACTTTGATTCCCGCTTAGCAGGAAGGGAACTAACCCATTTGATCACGATTTGTCCGCACCTTACGCGACCCCGGGAAACGTAGGGTGAAGCGACTCCGGACGAGCGCGTGGTCAGAGTCCACAAATGTGTTCCATGTGAAAGGTGGAAGACAGCAGTCGAACAATGATTTGGCAGCAGAGTATAAAAGCCATTACTAACAAACTCAGCTGCGCTGGTCATTGCCGCCTTCCTGGATGGGGACCCTGAGACGGGCCACATCAATGGCTAGAGACATTGTCAGACATGGCCCAGTCGCGACCTCAATGGCGCTCGTGCATCAAAGCTATTGCCTTCAATGCATAGCTCCTTTTCCACCCCCCTCCCCCACTTGACAGCCCACTAACAGTGCTGGATTTATTCACCAATTTATCAGCTCGCGTGTGCAATACGCAGCTACCTACCCCCCCAAATCATCGGTGAACGAAACTGCGGCAGCTACAACCACTGTACGACGAGTACGCGGTTATTACAGCTGACAATGATGATGATGATTGCAAAGAAGAAAAATTGAACCTTATTTTTGACGCAAAGATGGCATTATAACCCAGCTTCGAGTGCATGCGTTGCTTAGCGTACAGTGCAGGATATGTAGGAGTAACAGCGACAACAAACTGATCTCCTTCTGGGCTATCATCATCCGGACTAGTTTTCGCATCCTTACTCCGATGAACTTGCCTGGGGTCGACGATTATTGTTGCTGCTCCTACTGTTTTCTAGCGGTCCGCTCACTGCTTCACCAATGTGCTCAATTATTGTGGTGGATCTCTGTAGGATTTTGCAGAAATAAGTGTTGCACAATTTAGAATCTTCGCTTTCAGTACAATCACAGACTTTCATGACGATTAACGAGACTGCAGTTATTGTCCGTTTCCAGTTACACAAATGTTAGAAGACATCATTAATGGGTGAAATTAGCACCAACGGTATCGAAAACGTGTATGCTGACTAAGGAAGCGAAGGCTTTGTTGTTGCACCTTGCAGAATTCGTATTTTCTGAGTTCATTGGTTAAGATCCGCAATCAGTTTGTTAGACGCGGGTTGTTGCTGTCGGCCGCTCTGGTACATCACGATTGCTCATGCATCTAAAAATCGGTATATACTTTGCGGTTTCTGAAGACGCCTTTCCTTGTCATCAGTCGGGTATGTCGGAGGAGCACTAAAATCCAGGTCTACTGCCTCTTCTAGCGCGTTTTATTTTTATGGAATTGAAGTCACATCCGTTGTATCTGATAGCTAACAATTAAGTGCGTATTCGACAACTTCCTCCTAACCGATAACCAGTGAATAATACCTGGGGTACTCAGGTCCTACGGGTTTGAATTAGACTAAGCTGAATACATTGATGTCTGTCATGTGCAATGTCAGTAACTGGACCCGGCTTAGGACTGCCCTTACACAGACAGAATCAAGTGCGATGTATAGTGACTGCACAACCTCCCGGAAACTGATATGTAACGGCTTAATATTATGGCTTCCTTTAAACCCAATTCGTAACATGTTTATTCAGCTAGATGCATCTTCCCTATCAAAGCAAATCTTTTCCAATCAACAGTTCCTTGACCGTTTTAAAATTACTTATAAAATCAGAGCTTATTTACCACATCCTTTACGAAGTAGATGTTAGGATCCTTGGTCAGGCAGCAGCCGTTGCCAACGCTCTTTCTGAGGTCAAGTGAGATAGGTCATGTGCTTTGGAGACGACCATCGCCTGTTTTAAAAATGTACGTTGGAAGTTCGCCGTCGATATGGCTTTACAATTGTTGTTGTTGTTATTGTTGTTGTTGAATGGGTGAACGGTATGAAATCCAACTCATCGGCGTTTTTAAGCCAGTTTTACCAGAATCGTGCATTCATGCATATACATACGATCTTATTTAGGCTGCGCGTAAATCTATGGATATTTGGTGCCTTTGAAACAGTTAAGTGGAAAAAGTCTCATTGAAGCCTTAGTTATATATTCATGACCTACCCTTTTCTCATCAATTTTCAATGCACGAGAACGACACCGTAATCCGGTTAATCGTCGACAAAGCCCATTATCGAACGATAATGCTATTTTCCTTAGCACTTGTACTGTTGCATTACTTCACAGAATGTGTTCTCAGGACAAAGCAGCCAGTTTATCAACAACTTGAAAATCTATCAGAATAATCTAACAGAATAATAATCTGTGAAGTTTGTACAAGCACTAGACTGTTCGTTGAATGCATGGTTCACAGAAGGACTCTTTCCAGTGCCATTGCATCTGAAGACCTAATTCAGAGATCCGGTTGTAATGCAGTAATCTTTCTTAGAGTATCCATATGGAGAAAACGGGTATTCTGTGGGCCCAGGGAGGGAAGAATTTGCGCGGTAACGAAATGACTGACCAGGACAAGAGTTCTGTGTAACCGTATTTTGTTGACGCGGTGCAGTAGAATGCAAGCCTTGAAAGCGTCTTAGTTGGCTAGGTGAAAACGAAGAGTTTGCGATTCAGGTTCAAGTGGTGAAATTCGCATGGATGAAAAATTTTTATCCGTCTCAACATTGGAAGCGTTGCTTTAATCATCTTGACTAGACATGGGCAATACCTCTCTTGACTGCGGCAAATTCTGAATAATTTGATTCCGGTTCGCTGTGTTCTTGTGCTACATCGCATCCGATCTCCATACTCATGATCTTCTCTGTCTGAAATGAGGTGGGTTTCTTTCACATTTACTTACTCTGTTAATCGAATCTGTGTAGATTACCATAATGTGTAATCAAGCCTTAGTCCATAGTGCAAATAGCATCACCTTACTGACTTAGTATTTATCAGGAGAGTGATCGACTCGAGCAGTGTCAAAGGCATAGGCTCAATCTTTTTATCCACTGTTAAAGTAAATGCTATACCAGATATGAAATAACGTTAAGAGGCTAGACGGCATGCTATCGAAAAGATAAAGCAACCCAGATGCACAAAAGGTCGCTCGGGACTTTGATGTTCTTTTCATTCGTGTCACTTATCAGCAATAAGGATGAGAGACGGATTGAACAACCGGAAGTGTCTGGCTTGCCGATGCTCTCTACACATTCGCAAAGCAGTAGAGGTGGTAGAAAGTATGCGTTGCAAAGTTCTAGGGACGGCTGAGATAACTTCCCGTAAAAATGTTGGGTACACGGTTGTGGTTCAGTTGCAACAGCATGAGACGCAGTGAATATCATGTTCGGAAGTTGGAGAATATGCTCTACTCGTTAGGGTCGATAGTGAAGGAACAAGTCATTTGCGCTGTAACCACAGAGCTCACTCAAACTATTCTACATCACATAGGAGTTTTTTTGTTTGGAAATATCACGATGCAGTGTTTAGCCACGCGGTGAACTTCCATGTGGATCAATATTCGTAGAAGAATACGTTTTCACTCACTAGTCATTTGACCTACGATCATTCAGCCGTTGCAACCTGTCGTGTAACTGGAGTTAAACACGACGGTTGAGATACTGCTAGACGGCAGCAATAGGAAAGAAAGCCAGGCGTGGACCATCGAGACAGCCTTAAGAGCTTAGCGGCCTCGATCTACGTAAGGATGAATATGTTTGCACCGATATAGGCAGTTTTTGCTGCATACTACCTATCAGGAAGGTCAGCTTCCTGAAAGCAACCACTGAATGCCCGGAAGCTACGGCAACTCTCAGCTCCGCTGGGTGTTGACCAGACAGACAACGCCCTCTCAATATGCAGCGCGTCACAGCCTTGCATCAAACCCAGACAGCGTGAGTCAGAGTTGATCAAGGTCAGACAACGCCTCCGCAATATGCAGCGCGTCGCTGCCTTGTACTAAAGCTAGACCGCGTACGTCGCATTGGACCAAGTTCAGACAGTGTCCTTCCAATAAAATGCTTGAGGCCGTTGTACTTTTCGCACTCGCACGCACTCGCGTTCTCGCAACCACTTTTTTGGAATATAGCTATTGTGTTCCCTTCCGTGAGCCTTTTCTCTCCGACACTAGGCACTGGAGCGGGTCAGCAGCAGATACCACAGGCCGGCGAATCAGCAGGTATAACACTACCTGCCGCAGCAAAGTTGAGTTAACTGGAATTTTAATCACGAGAAAATTGTGTGTCGGGTTTATAAAGTAACAGAGACGCCTTTACCGGAAATCCTAGTCTCTGTGTCAATGTTACGCTTATTACAGGATTCCCAAATTTTTATGTGGATATGACGCTTAATTGCCTGTGGGTCACACCTGTAGTCCATCTTTAAGTAATCAGAGTAACCAACTTCGGTGGATGAAAGCCCTGCCTAGTTGCTATGGCACCTTTGGTTATCCAGTTCGGTAAGGAAATTCAATGATGACGAGTTAAAAAAACGCATCAAACATACTTAAGCAATCGGTAGCAATGTGAGCGATGAAAATAGTACCATCACCATCGAGATCTGATCTGTAATCGTACTGGCCGGCAGAGCAACCCTGATCTGATCTGTAATCGTACTGGCCGGCAGAATGTGCGGAGAACACCTACAGAGCAACCCTAACTTTGATCCTTGCCTCCATAAAATCCGCAGCCCCTTGACCGCAGATGTGATCTGAGAAGTAAGCTCGCAACCTGCTCAGAAGTTATTACCGTTCAAGCCTATATACACTACTCCGAACCCGAAAAAGACTGATCTAACGTTGCAGTGGGCAAGCACTGACAAGTATAGCCGTCCTGTCCCTACAAATGCCTCTGAATAATGATAACTAGGCAATGCTACGCTTATTTTTTTGTCTAGGGGTCCTCAAAGGTAGCGTCTTGTAATAACTCAATAGCGTTTGTGTGAACACAGCGTCGGAGAATGTAACTGTAGGCTAGGTCCACAGAAAGTTCGAGGTTGATGATACTTTGTTTGATTCTACGTTGATTTTTCCGCAACATGCATAGTATCCAGTTATTAAACTTGGGAGCTAGGTGGTTCATGTTTAGTGTTCCTAATTGTCGTATCGCGAATGGCCGTCTATTGGTTACGCCTGCACTGGGCCCGCCAGACTGCGCGATAAGGAGAAGACAGAGAACCCTGAACACGGCTGTATTGTCAGGACAAAACACACAGGGCTCCTTCACAAATAGTAGGATGACAATTATGGTCGTTCACTTGTTCGTTCTGTAGAGCCGGTCGTGAACAATTTCAGCCCCACTCCACTGGCCGTATGGTGCTAAGCCATGTTTGGTGAGCTCCGCCAACGCACCTGCTGTCCGGGCCGTGCGGTTCCAATGGTGACCTTGAGGATTCGTCATTCTCTGTACGTGTGCTTTTTCATGTCTGGGCGCGTCCTGACACTAGTCTTCTTTTTCTCCTATTTCAGCAAGTGGACATTGTCGTTTTGATATTACACGATGAGATGAGTTATCCCGAAATCAAGAGACTAAGTGATTTGCGCCTGGGAGTTCGCACACAATGTGTTCGCCACACTACGCTACGCAAACCGCGAGTCATGCGTAAGTCACTCAATACGAGATAACTTGTAAAAAAACTGCTCCGGCTAACTGTTTCCTCATGTGACACGTAGTATGGCTGTTCGCAGGTAGTCAGCCTGCTTTCTTAAGGCACGCTTAAATTGCTTTTAAATCAAGCGGGGGTATGGACGGCGTATACATAGTCTTCGGTTGAACAGCCTGGAATTTCAGTATTGCATGAGCAGTCCATCCATACTCACCCGATGAACTCTAATAAAGGTAGAAAAACCTCATGAAACTGAGTGGTTCCGGGTCAGTGTACACACTTTATTTAGTTGATCGCAATGTTCCTTCTCTAGCGAACCTGGGGAACAGTAGCTAAAGAGAAGCCTATCCATGTGAGTTGAGACTTCTCTCTAGATGCTGACTGCTCGGTTATCTTTACTGTTTTACCCTAGATAGCAAATGATCATAACTACTACGCCGAGCATAGGTTCCAATCATACAGTCGTTAGCAAAAGACTGTTTTGAAGGGACAAGTAAACCTGGTGAATTTTCTCCAGAAATTGAGAAGATCTGGTGAATCTGGAAATCAAAAGTTCAGTTATGAGAAGATCTGGTGAATCTGGAAATCAAAGTCCATTTGCACGTAGTATGGACGAAGAGAAACGCCAGGAGTCCTACTCGAATAGTAATTTTTTTTAAAAAAAGGCATTTTTTAATGAAAATATGATTAGGCAGATCTGGGTACCACATCTTCATTGATAGATGCTCAACCGAGTTTTTATCATTCAGAGGACGCAAAAGACTTGTGGTAATCATTTAGAAGGGTGGGTATATGGATATACTAGACAAATTTCTTTTAGCGTAATGAACGACAGGTCGCTTTTGAAGGAAATCTACTCCTAAAGTCACTGGGAACTCCCCACGATCTGTTTCGCCCTTCTTGGGGGCTCATCAGTTAGACGCGGTACCCTAGTTTCGATGAACCCGAATTGTACGAAATTTAGGAAATCCACTCATTTGCACACTTATTTGATCTTAACGGGAGGCTCCCAGCTGAATCATTTGTGATATTCGCTACACGAAGGCTACCTCGTGTTTCACTTAACCCGAGAATCCGTTGAAACCAAACTAGTGTGAAAATAAGCTTACTTCGTGAAGAGGTCATCCCAATAGACCCAGAATCCTCCCCCTTGATATCGAATATCCACCCATCAGTTTTCATCCACATGAGCTGAGAGGTTTTGTTGCATATCCACATACTGCTCCTCTTCACCTCCTAGTCGCACTGGATGCAAGTTCAAACCTGCAGTACCGATATTCTTCTCGGCTTATTTCTCGGTCTGAGCCTCCCAAGCTAGCGTTCACGTCAAGAACAACCACCAAGGGTGCACAAGGTATATTAACGCCCAAAACGAAGTCAGGAACAGTTGTGCAGCGCTTCATATATATAGCATAGGAGGCAATAACTTTCTGGAAATTCTGACGCGTTCTGGATATGACACTGGCGACCGGCATTCGGCCAACACTGGGTCATGTTTGGCTGCTGGGTCCAGACTTTCGACCAATCAGATCTCGGCTTGATAGCGGACCGGCAAGCGTCCCGAATTCTCGGCCAATCCTGCGTGGGATGGAATTCTCGGCCGCAGCAGCACCTGAGTGCGAGCGGTAAAGAGGGACCCGTGTGGAGTTCCGCTTAACAAAACCTTAGTTGAGAAACAAACCCAGGCTAACAAACGCGATCAATCATTCCCCCCGCCAACCTAAACCCCAATCAGATTTGTTTTTTTCCTTATGTGTAACGAATATTTCACAGTGGACTGGATAGTGGACGTGTACCGTACTGTCTACATAGGGGTTCAACGCTCTATATTCTCCGAAATACTTGGATCGGATTTGAATCCTGTACACCGTGTTAACCCCATCTTCAGTCACTTATACACACCTTTACCACCTCATTCGTTAATATCCCATTGGTTTTGAACCAAATGTTATTTTCTCGTGTAGAGGCCATCCTTCATGGGAGGTCATACTTTTCTTCCCTCAAGTTCGTTGTGAAACTAAGAACATTCCTTTCTCCGAGGCGCATTCTGGCTAAAATCGTTTCCAGAAGAAACTAACAAAGCCACTTGCCTCGTTTGTATGCTTAGTGGCGTCCTTCCAGGATCAGTGCACTTTTAGTGAACAGTGTGAAACAAACATTTTAACTCAGCTGCATTATACTTGCGATGCAAGGATTTCAAGGTAATTCAAGATAATTCAAGGTTTAATGGTTTAAAAAGCAGTTAACTTTACAACGACCATAGGATGAACGTATATATACAAAGGGACGCACAACTATGCGTAATGTTTGCTGAGTATCACATGGAGTTAAACAGCTCCAGAGGATGAGGTAGTAGCGAACCGTGCAGCTGGCTACAAGCAGCTAGCATCCTACATCTTTCTTCGCCCTCTAAGCTCAATTGAAATCCAATAGTGTCTGACGTTTATTGGTGTTTATTAGCACATCTTTTGATGTATGTGATCTTTTGGAACAGTGCGATGAAATCATTTACACAAGCTAGTATTTTCTCCGGTCATTCAGTAACACACAACAGGCGTCATGGAGGATTATCATGTCTTACTTCACTGAAGAGAATGCCAGGATTTGTTCTAATCTGATTTAATCGGGACAGTTTACAGTAACAATGCACTGGAGATTGTGTATCTCGTAGACCAGTTTTACGTGCTATTTCTTGGGAGGAAGAAAACTGTAATTGAATCGTATTGGCTATTTCAATGCAACGAATTCCGTCAGGAACACTTGTATTGTAACACACGTAGAAAGGAGAAGGGATTAGAAAAAAACGGAGTCCAATTACACGGAGTGTGAGGGAACTAAACGTCTGATGGCGCACTAGTTCTACCCCCTCCTAAACGGAGTCCAATTACACGGAGTGTGAGGCGCACTAGTTCTACCCCCTCCCCCTGGTAAGCGGGAGGCCGGTCGTTTGAGCCTGTTCTCGTTTATACTACACCTTCCTGAAACTGACATTTCAGAATCCAGAAGTAATTCTCCGTATATGCCTCTCCGACTGATGAGTGCACTTCAGCTTCATTTACGAAAATTTTCCTATTGTGCGTTACTTTAACTGGAAGGTTTTATATTTGTGCTCGCCGCCATCTAGCACACTTCCCGTCAACGGGCAGGTGATTTATCTATCAAGGTCACGGTTTCCGTAGGCGGATCCCAGTGGATTCTGCTGTCGAGTTAGAAACTCAACCTATATGCAATTATTCGGTCAATAAAAGCTTTCATCTTTCAGCTCCAACATGTGGGCCGAGCTTTAAAGGATTTCCGCGCTTCTCCTGCAGGACTACCAAAATTCCTACTACTACATGGAAAATTAAGCATCCAAAGCAACTCTCAAGTAACAGCACTTACACTACATGGATGTATTCTATGACTTCCATCGCTCAACTACCCTCCTTATTCATTCATATCATCGTTGACTGAGGAACTGTTGAATCTGAGTTGGTCGTACTGTGATGTAAACTTTAGCGTTTGAAGTGGAGATACCGATAAAGCTGTTTTTTTTAATATTTGTCACTTAACCGATCTCCTACTGTGCGTACCCTCTTCAAGAAGTCGATTACCCTATGGAGGCCGTAGCAGAGTGGTCCGTCACTCATTACCTAGTGGGCGGTATCTCGAAGAGAGGCCACATCCCTCTTGGAAGTCATGCTTTTTCCCAGAAGCGGTCTCTCTTGGGAAATTATAATATCGGTTTTGATCAATCATAAATCAAACTTTTCTGGTTGAGTTAATGCGATTACTGATTCGACAACGAATTGAACTATTATTGTACGTTTTTAGCGAATCTTCTGCTGAAGATTAACGGCAAGCTTGGTGGCGTCAACTGGATTATTCCCGAATTGAAACATGACGCAGAACACTTCATGGTGTTTGGCGCCGACGTTACGCATCCTGCACCAACCCAGGCTCACGATTTACAAAAGTCAGTTGCTGCTGTGACTGGCAGTGTGACACCAGATTTGATGCGCTATGCGGTTGTTGTCCGCCAGCAACAAACCAGAAGGCCAGGAGACAAAGCAATTAAAGAGACGATTACCGAATTGGAAGCATGTATTACAGAATTGCTTCGGGTGAGTACGTGTTTTCTCCCAACTGTTGGCAGTAGTTATGGAGGTGCATTCAATAGTGCTGTAGCTGTTCATTCACAGGACTTGGGGAGCATTATTTTCAGACTCATGTCGTCTGAGGTATAGGATACGGTTCCGACACTACCTCGAGGTAACGATATCGGTCCGGTTAGTCGAAGTTGAAACGGTTTGAACGTATTGCTTTTTCTGAAACCGTATTGTAGTTACTGGCATCTTTTATGCACATAGGCAAATTCAAAGCTCGCGCAGTATTTCTGTAATGATTCCCTCTTCTGAGTAAACTTAGTGTGGTTACTGAAAACGCTGGAGCTCGCGGTGAAATTGAAACCCCTGTAACTGAAGTCAGTGCGTGTATCCCTCTAACAGAACTCGAAATCTTAGAAGCCTGTAATCCTAGCATGAAGAAATAACACAACGTAACTTCAACTTGAAAACACGCTGGTGGTTTCACAATACTTGATATTTCCCCAAGTTTTGTCACATTTACAACTTGACTTTTCTCCTAAATATGTTTAGCTGCCGGGTCGATATCGATATGGTTATATCTTTGAAAGGTGGGTGTGTGGAAGTCACGAGTTCCTAACTTTTAGGTCCACACGCCGCACAAACACCAACACCACTTTGCTGCATAAAAAATGCCTGGGCAGGATGTCTGGGTACTCCGCAGAAACTTCACCGTGCGGCTACATACATGAGTTCCAACTTGTTTTCTAGAACCGGGAATTCCATGAAATGCGGTCACTACTTCAATAGGTTCCGTAAATCACCTACTGCCAGCTGGCTTCCACTCTTTTTCATTTATGGACGTCCAAATATTTGTATATGGTATCCAAGATGATTTGTAGGGCGACTCGACAGAATACTAAAACGAACAGGAATCGAAGAGGGCACGACATAAATGTAGGGTGTCCCAACACGTTTCGAACTCTGGCGTGAAACCCTCACAATTTCACATACTCCTTCGGAGCATCTTAACTTTACATGGAGTATCCTCTAATTTTTTTCTATCCTACATGATAAGATTCCCATCGGACAGTTTTAGGACTTTTATGGAAAAACCTGGTGAAAGATACTGAAACATTTTAGCATGAAAACGTAATGGATATTGACTACCCATATAATCCATGCCGAGCAAACATTCTAACTGGTTCCGAACAGACTCAGTACTTGATAGGCGCTGAGTTGAATCTTACCATCGTAATTTGTAGGTGTTCGCCACATGGCATACTTAGATCTGGTGTATTCTTGCACAAAAAATCACCGAACTTCGTAGGCAGTGGGGAAATTTGGACGTTTCCGTAGAGATCTGTTGCGAGAGATGCCAATCTATGCTGAAAGTGAAAAACAGTTAATGGCTGATTCATTGTTTCGGGGAGTTCGCAAGCAGCGCCCCTGCATCTCTAGGACGATTCGAAACCAGGACCCCTCAGCTGGTTTCAGCCCTATGGTTACTGATCGGGGCAGAGAGGAGAAAATACAAGAAGCTACATGGACTTATCGCCAGAGAAAACGATCAACACCGGATCAGGTGAAGTGAAATGAATGACTGAAAACTCTTCAAGCCAACTACCGTGCCACCCTACTGCCATTGAGTGCCCTGTTACAATAGCTGACGTTGGCTTTACAGAGTAGTCCAAATAATCGAGTAAAACCCAATAACTTGATCAAAGGACCTCACACTTTCTTTAAAATATCATTCGTTCGATCGTTGTTCTGAAATATTCATTGTTCTTTAGAACAATAGTGCTGTTCTAACCCCTTTTTTATTAACGAATTTTACAGTGTTACCACCGCGTCAACAATCGGTTTCCTTCAAAGCTGATGTTCTATCGAGATGGAGTGTCAGATGGACAATTTTCAGAAGTACTCAACACAGAGCTACCGGCCATCCAGCGCGCTTGTTTTAATCTCTCTCAAGGATATGAACCTGGGATCACCTACATTGTCGTCAAGAAAAGGCACCACCTACGATTTATGCCAGAAAAGCAGTAGGTTTTGCTCGCCTCGTTGCATTGTGCAAACAACCTTCCGTCCTCATGTAGGCTGAAAGAAGCCTTTTTCAAGAAACACATTAATATGCACGCTAAAGCTGTGGGAAATTTCATTTCAACAGGAAACGCTTCACAGGGGTGGGCCAGTGTACTTCAGAAAAGCTTTCGCTCTTTCCTGGAGAACTTACAGTTTTGACATACGCTATCTACATTCATCTGCATTTTCCGTAAACAAACTACTCAGTTGAGTTTATCCTTATTTGGAATCAGCAGCAGTGAGCGTCTAACAAGTTCCTAAAGGCGACCTCCCAGCCAGTAGTTCGAGCACCTAACCGTTCGGTCATGAGCGGCTGATCAGCAGTGTGGTTAGCTTGCAGTTGGACAGGATATAGTGCTAATCATTCTTCAATCATGGAGTCTACACCAATTGGTTATTTGTTGACTGGCTTCTGGAGTGACGGTTTTTCAAACAGAAGTTTTACTTACCGAGTGAACTTTATTGTTCCTACGAAGTACTCGTAGGCTGTTGATAGCGTGAGGAGATCTGGAGTTTTTCAGTGGAGATTTTATCCTGCAAGCCAGTCTCGGATATAGTGCTAATCATTCTTCAATCATGGAGTCTACACCAATTGGTTATTTGTTGACTGACTTCTGGAGTGACGGTTTTTCAAACAGAAGTTTTACTTACCGAGTGAACTTTATTGTTCCTACGAAGTACTCGTAGGCTGTTGATAGCGTGAGGAGATCTGGAGTTTTTCAGTGGAGATTTTATCCTGCAAGTGAAGCCAGTCTATGATAAACAACTGAGAAGCACTTTTTATTGAGAATCATCAGCAGTGCGCATTCGAGAGTTTCTTCGTACCTGAACTGCATCATGGGACGCTTCTCAGGTAATTTTGGGGAATGGTCACCATCATCATCGACATGATGAGGATGACATCAGTGTTCAACAATGAGGCTTCGCTGCCGCACAACGGTTATTAATTTCAAAGGCTCATTGTGAAGAAAAGAATAGAAAGCGACGAGGTAGGAACTTGGTGCTAGCCTACTACAATCATTCCACACCTCCAGACACTCATTCAGACAAACAGGCGAAGTCGCATAGCCACACAAAACAAAATAGCTCGCACTGTAGCCTGATACACTCGTCTCTTGAGATTCAGGGGTATAGCTCTTTGACTCCATAGGTGTCTCAAATTGGCGAACGCGACCCGAGGTTTGCAGATCCTCATCTGTCGCGAATGTCTCATATTAGGAAAAGTGACCCAAGTCTCAAAGATTCGTGCATGAACTTCACATGACACACTACAGGCGCATCTAACACAACTTTCAATATACATGGGGCGCTCCACAGCTTCGAATGCCTTGAGAATGAGTCAGAAGGACATTCAGGTTGTTTTCGTTGTTGAGAGGATACATGTGTGGTGACAGAGTGAACATGTATTGTGCGGGATCCCTTTTCAGATCTTCCGGAACTCAACAGATTGCCCATTTGGCGTAGTGACTGCCGTTAATCAGTTTCGGATGATATAAACATTTGTCCTCTAATTAGCGACTGACCTGTTTGGGTTTTGTCCAAAACTGGTTTAACAAACATAAAGATGGGGGTTCAGNGTTTTCGTTGTTGAGAGGATACATGTGTGGTGACAGAGTGAACATGTATTGTGCGGGATCCCTTTTCAGATCTTCCGGAACTCAACAGATTGCCCATTTGGCGTAGTGACTGCCGTTAATCAGTTTCGGATGATATAAACATTTGTCCTCTAATTAGCGACTGACATGTTTGGGTTTTGTCCAAAACTGGTTCAACAAACATAAAGATGGTGGTTCAGCAGACTGTGTCTACGTTAGATTTTAATGTCTATGCCTGGGTATGGTATAATAAGCAAGTTCTTCAGATTACAGTCGCTGGGATGGAGTAACTGAATTTCGTTCAGCTATTAGCAGCATAGATTTCCGTAAGTTCCTACGCTGTCTGCCTTTGACAAACCGAATTTTAAGGGAGACGTTGTAAATGCCAGCGGAATATATCCAAATCAGGCAGGTTTAAAGGTATTGTTAGGATTTTCCTATTTTACTTAATGCATTGATTCTGAATCGCTCGGTTCTAAATAAAATTTAAATGTATTCGTCCGTTTTATGACCTGATTAGTTCCCCCAAAAAATTATTTCAGTGTAGAGAGCCCGATTAGCTGATTTGACTGAAGTGAAAACTCCATGTTCCCACCACAGAAATTTTTCTTTAGGTGTGCTGTCGAATTTGACCGAAGGGTTGCAGTAAGTCAGATATTTGTCCGGTCGTTACAGTGTTGAGGATTTAGTGCACACAGACTTTGCAGCTAACGCGCTGACAGGTAAGTGCTGTGATATGGCCGCGTTACTTCCAACTGATATTCGTCCGGGGTAACCATTTTGCTGGTACATAAATTAGCTCACTTTTCATTCAACCTATAGAGTGAGTTTTAATTCCCTTCAGCCTTCAAAGTCTCCAATTCGAGATTCTATTTCGGATTTATGCCGACCACACACCAGTGTTTCACCGTATTCTAAACTTCCTCATTTGTTAATGGCACATAAGTACATGCCACGATCAGCTGGATCGGGATTTGCATAAGTATTACCGGACATGCCGCAATAAGCTGTGCTCACGTAGCGATGATTTCAGATCAGACTAGCACATATATGACACCTATTTGCACATAATCACTTGGTCAGATTAGGTCATAAAATAGGGTCGTTAAGTCTCTGACCATCTGACACACTTGTTTCGACAGTTTTTTGAGCCGGACAGTACGAACGTTGGATGAGTTTGCCCTTGAATAGGCCGGTCTACGTAGGAATGGAATGCGATCAAGCGTTTGCGGAATCAACTGGTCATCCTCACGCTGGTTACGTGGTCACCATAGAGTAAACTGGAATTCACAGGGCATAGCTATGAAGGTGCTTCACGTAGGGCACAACCGAAGGAGATGAGTGTTTTAAGCGCATATTCAAAACTAGATTTTGCGTTCATTGAACTTCAGGCCAGCAACTTTAGACAGTAACCAAGGTTCGGATGCACGAATTTCAAATAAACACTTGAACGATCACGCCGTGCATAGATCGAATGCCGAATGAATGTAGCTCATGCGTATTACATTTATAGTTTAAAACTTCCAGAACTTCTCACCTTAGTTTGCTATAGTATTATCAAAAGAATGTTGCTTTTGTAGGCCTTGCCGTTCTAGAGTGCGGTCATTTTTGATAAGCACGATTTGTCCCATAGTATATACTATAGTATATATAGTATGTAGTATGATAGTATATATAGTAGATGTTATGTCTGCTGATTCGTCAATCTGTGGTATCTGCTGCTGACCCGCTCCAGTGCCTAGTGTCGGAGAGAAAAAGGCTCACGGAAGGGAACACAGTAGTTATATTCCAACAAAGTGGGTGCGATAGCGCGAGTGCGAAAAGCACAACGGCCTCAAGCTTTTTATTGGAAGTACACTGTCTGAACTCGGTCCAATGCTGACGCGCGCGGTCTGGCTTTGGTACGAGGCAGCGACGTGCTGCATATTGCGGAGGCGTTGTCTGACGTTGATCAACGCTGACTCGAGCTGTCTGGGTTCGATGCAAGGCTGTGACGCGCTGCATACTGAGGGGGCGTTGTCTGTCTGGTCAACACCCAGCGGAGCTGAGAGTCCCCGTAGATTCCGGGCATTCAGTGGTTGCTTTCAGGAAGCTGACCTTCCTGATAGTAGATATATAGTATATATACTATAGTATAGTATATACTATCACACCCGAACTACACACATGGAACTTTCATGCGGATCTTACTTCGATGAACCAAAGGGGTGATGCCGGAACAGTTTGGCTGTCGCTATGCTGCCTTCACAAGCCCCATGTTCAACGATATGACACTACTACACTATCGAGGCCATGGTCGTCGCAACAAACCACTGTGTTCTCAGGCATTCGCTTATACATGGAATGTCAACTTGCGGAGGATGTTGTCTACCGTGTTATTTGGATGACAGTCGTGGTTTTTTGCTCAACCTGCTCACAGAAGCATATCATGTCGCTTCGCATGTCTATATTTTTTGTTCTTTAGTCAACACGTTCACCTTTGACTAGATACCTCCTAAATTGGCATGGGAGGATTCCACAACTTTGAAAGAAGTGCCTGGTTTGTCCAACCGGATCCTCACTCGATTCCTTGTTGTTCCAATATGAAAATACCACTAACTTGTTTTACTTTCGACTGAATTTACATACCTATATACACCAATTTCCATCGAAAAGCGGAGAGTATTTTCCATTTAATCCTTGAGTTCAAGGAGAGAGGTTGAGTTCAAGTCTGGCTTTTCGTTCAGTTGTTTTTTTCACTTGAGTTGTTCGTGCTTGAATGCGCAACCGACATAGGCCAAATCCCCGTCTCTTGTACATCGAATCAGAAATCCCCTCAACGAAATGCAAGATCAGTCAGTTCGGGGTAAATAATGGCCTGGAGAAAATGTAGATCTTCAGTCGGTTCGTATATTCTAGTGTTAATGAGCTTTTAAACCGCGTACTGAACCGACTCTCTTCCATCCCGTCCGATCTGCTAAGAAGCCACAAACCATGATGTTTCTGCCTTGGGTTTACGTTTTCTGGCCATTTTTACCAAAGTGAAATTAAATTGAAGCAGCTCCTAACAGCTTCTCACCACTAAGTTTTTTGTCAAACTTGGTTTAACAGTATACGGAACTTTCTATTGTTTTCATGAATGTGATTGTTTATGCTGTTTGTTTACCACCTGCTTCTTACGATTATCACTTTCAGAACCAATAAATCTGGCAACGTTGAGCCGGGGACGGTTGTCGACAAGGAAGTGGTACATCATGTGGAATTCGACTTTTATCTCTGTTCGGCAGAGGGAATTCAGGTGTGCTAGTCTATCCGTTGTTAGGCCTTCGAGTATTGAATGCACATGTTTAGTGGGGTTCACTTATTCTTTCAAAATAAACTTGGATTGTACAGTACAGGTATACCGCCATAGGTTTGATAGGAAACCCTTCTACGAAAGGCCAGGTTTAAAAACGACTAACGATATGTAAAATTTGGCACAAGAGCTCATGTTGCCCTACCGTATCTTTCCTTTGCTAACACTGATATCATAGTTTGTGCAACCGACAAACAGAAATTGGGTCCTCCCTCTTAGATATTGCTCTTGAAAAAGACTACTGAACTTCCAAAACACAACGATTCTGAACGTGAGAGCTGAAATGATTTTTCACTTGGTTGAAAAACGTTGCGCACATTTTGCCAGGGCTTATTTGGCTTAAAAAAGAACGACGGAAATAACACGAAAAGCATTGACACATCTAGTGTATTTGATAATTTCTGGTGAAATTCAGGTATCGTGACCAAAAATCGATCAGTTGCTCCTCCCACAGACTATCGTTCCATAATTATAAGAATTTTTAAAGGTTGTGGGTTTGAGCTACAAGCGTTCCTGGTATATCCCGGATGATTTCTTTGACCGCAAGAAATCCTCAATATCCTGAGTGAGTATAAACTTGATTTCTTGCCGGTTCACAAAATGCCTTGCTTCATACGGTGGTAGTTCTTGGGTGAATAAGGTACTCGTCGTACTCAATGGGAGTATATTCCCCTGACTGTTCGCAGGATTCGAAACGAGTTAATTGACTGTCTTCAGCAGACTACCGAATCTTTCTAGGCATGAGTCTTTTTTTCGCTAGTCGAGATATTCTCTCTATTTGGGAGTCATTACATCTGGTAAACTTTGTAAATTTTGCGTCTTACAGCATGGGCCCTGTCGGCAACACATTTGTTGATCTGAAATAAAGACTACAATCTGGCAAACTGGAATCACAAACGAGGTCTGTGTTAATATAATCAAAACACCAAGCAGTATATACCATTTGCATCTTATTCGGAGCAAGGTGTCCAGTGGATCGGGACTTATATTCTTGGTAGCGTAATCACTGCACGCTCACCAGTTGTTCTGTGGCTATTTTTAGGATCGGTGTTTCCATGCCCAATATTTCCTGACTAGGTTGAATAAGAAGGTAGCATAGTAATTTTTTCTTAACATCCGAAACTATCCGATTCCATTCGTAACACATATTTCCATTGACTCAGTTAGTTCTTATTCCCGACTGTTGATCTTCAGGGAACTTCAAGGCCAGCACACTACCATGTGTTGTATGACGATTCTGATTGGAGTTCAGATGCATTGCAGGCGTTCACTTACTATCTTTGTCACACGTATATGCGCTGCTCTCGGAGCGTGTCTTATCCGGCCCCTACATACTATTCCCACTTGGCCGCCTATCGTGCGCGCGAATGGCTGACCAATACGAGAAATCTCGAGGCGCTGGTGCACGACAATCGGTTCAACGTGCATGAATCACAAGTGACTGGCATGTTTTACCTATAAATAATTTTGTGAGCCCTTCACGAAGCCCGATTTATTGTTTAAATTTCGGCTATTTTGGCCTACTCATTGTCCATGCATTTTGCCCACTGTTGTGATAATTACTTACACCAATCCTTCCTCTTCTGTGTAATACATCTTTGCATGATATCATATCCAATGATCTTTTCAAATGATAGATCAGCTGGCACCAGCATGACTTCTGTTCATTACGTCATAATACACATCCACTTGCTGTGAATAGCTTTGAATTCGGTTTCATTCCTGGGTGAGGAGTCTTAATCGAGCTCCTTTTTACTCAAAGTTTTTGTATACATTCTTCCAGAAATGTTTGTCCTTCACTCACATTCGAAGTTGGTTGGCTTCCGGAGTTCAGTAGAAAACAGAGTGGATGTAGGGACTCCCAGTTAATAATATATTCCGTTGCATCACGTCCCATCAGATTTAGATAACCTCGACAGCTTTTGCCGGTAAACTTGAACATATGTCCTTCACAGGACTCTTTTGGAAAGACGATATTATCACCCGGCCGGGTTGATTTCTGTAATGCTTTTGAGGCCAAAATATTCTCAAATTACAAATTAATTGCACAGTCGCATCACTGTGCTCCACTTCCAGTACTCTTTCTCCTTTACGACGTCCAAAGGGCAAGCGAATTCGGTCACATTAGAGAGACAGTTGAAGTGATGAGAGCGGGCAGGAAGAAGGCAAGCAGAGTAAAATGCCACAAAACGCAGACCAGTTTCACGGAATTTCCTCAGTTTCTCTTTTTTTGATTAGTCGAAACAAAGCTCGTCCCACAGCTTGAATTTCCGCTTCTACCTAATCGCTTCTCTTCCTGTCAAATAGATTACTTTTCCGACGCGTAATGAACCTTACTTACTGTTCTTTTGAGTCAGTTGTTCTCCGCCCTTTTCCGACGCGTAATGAACCTTACTTACTGGTCCTATGAGTCAGTTGCAAGTTCTCCGCCTCTTTTATTCTTTGCATGTTAGCACCTCCATCCGCGGTTAAAACTATTTAATATTAACGCTAATGGAGAGAAAAACCTAAAGTTTACCACAACTAGGTTGGCGACAACGAGTGGTTAAATGGGACAAGATAGGGGTGGAGTTGTGCTTAGTGGACTAGCGGTCAGACACGGGGGTTGCGTTTGCCAATATTTGATATTGAGTTACAAGAGGTCATGACCGAACTGGCATGAGCATGCAAAGAGGTGATGTGGTTATGGAAATCAAACGTATAAGGACTGACGGGAGTGGACTCCTGAGGTGATGGACCAGTTTATGTGAAACTTATTACGTGAGTTGGACAGTACCATGACGTAGGGGAGAAGGTGAGAAAGTAATGGAAACGAACACCAGCTTCCTAAACACTGCTATCGAAGATGAAAGGAGAATAATATTAAAGAGGAGAGCCGACGTACCCGGGCGACCTGGTAATGGACTTACTGAGAAAAGCTTAAGGTACAAGAGTACCTGGGGCCAAGGGCAATGATCTCTGTGGAATGCGTGGCGGGGTTCTCATTAATTGTGAACGTATCAGCTTGGGCAGAGCAGCGGCGAGAAGTCATATGGCACTTGGAAGAAGAGAAGCTTAGGCTATGGGCTCTTGACCAGCGAGTCACACTCTAAGTCTCGTGTGATCTGGCGAAAATCAAGAGTAACAGAGGAGGAAAATGTGTAAGTGATTTTTATATCGTCCGCAAAAATGAAGGGTTTAATATGGGACATAGCGCCAAAGACGTCGTTGCTATACAGTAGGAAGAGGATGGAGCCGTTAATGAAATTAGGACTGCCCAAGGCATTGTGACAAATTAAGAACAACGTAGATCAAGGATGCCCTTGGGTCGTGGTTCACTGTTGCCATTCAAACAAGACAATGGGATAATCGTGTCTATATTAGGGACTCAAAATAGGGTACGGTGTCAAAAAGGCCTGCCGGTGGACACTATGATATAAGCGGCCCGAAATACCAGGCGGCCGAGGGCGGTCAAAATTTACAACTGATGTAGTAAGGTGGCACTGCCTGACTTCAAAAACGGTAGTTGAATTTCGAGTAGGAATAGCATATATGAGGTCAGTGCGAACGGGTATGGGTACATATGAATACGAGCGACGTGCATCAGCTGAATTGTGGTTGCCTAATGCAGTCTGGAGCATTCATGGCTAATAAATTGAATAGAACCTGAGGTGCCTGATACTGTTGCGTGTTCGGACGACGAGGTGAATTCGAAGTGTACCAGTTGCAATCTTGAGTAAAGTATGAAGGGATTGCGAAACGAGTTACATTGATTGCGCTGTATTTAATGGTTCTGCGTTAGCAGTTTTACTCTGCTATAAATAATGTTTTGGATTGGGGCACTGCACGGTATGTATATTGCAATCAGGGCAGGCTTAAGACAGCAGCACAGACGTTCGAAAAAGCTGCATTTATTTTAGATTTCTCTTTCCTCCATTGGGGAAGGCGGAGTTCGTGGGTCAGCATCGTGCAGAAAATGCTTTTTTTCGGAGTAAGGGATGTCACCCATGCAGCCTTTCACATCGTTGAAAAGAAAATATGCGGAAGGAACGGACACGGTACGAAGAGGTTTGGTGGATATTCAGGGATGGGTAGGGACCGAAACGGTCAACCGGATAGCACAAATGTAGACTGACAGACGAGGTGCACTGAGGGGACGGATTATGGGGATTCAGAGTCCAACTGGCATTTAGAGGACAAAGGCGGGTCTCGTGGCATTGTGGTTATGTATGTTATTTGGATGTGCGTTGAAAGCTGTTCCTTCCGGGACAGTGGGATATATCAAACCTCAGAGTCTTCAGCTAGACCATTCCCATTATCTCCTATCAAGAGTGGCTGTCTCAGTAGCTCGTCTTTTCGGATAGTATAAGCATGATTGTGGAAGTGACGATAACTGTCAGCACTTCGGCAACATAAACAACGAGTTGGACAAGGCCCAAACCTACATGACAGGCATATAAAAGTGTCTCAGAGTGCCCTGTCTCAGAGTCCTGTTATGTATCTGACGTATGAAAGCATTTTTACATACATAATAGTTCTGTGTTGTGGAACAAAAATCCCAAAGTAAGGTGCCGTAAAATATTTTTGGACCCTAGAACATCCGCAGCGTTGTGAGTAATTCTTGCGCACTAATTGATTGCTTATTTAGAGCGCTTCGTCAGCAGCTGCACTGACTCCTTTCTATTTGACTGGGCTTTATTGAAGCCTAAGCTTGCCAGTACCAGTCCCGCAACGGCTTTCTAGTCCCAGATTCTTCTCCTGTAGCTCACAAGAAACAACATTTCCGTCCTCCTCACAGTAAATTGCAGTCATCTTATATTTAACCATATTAGCACCCCCGCGTAAACTAAGGGTCTGATACTCAGACACTGAATCCCAGCACTCCTGCTCACGTGGTAAATGGACTCTGCTGTGATGTTCACTATCCGGTTAGAGTGTGAAGTTTGTGTCCCTGATAAGTTAAGGCCCGTTTCCTTATCTTATTCTGTCCGTGCAGTTCTTACCTCAACCAGCTTATTGTTCTTGTCCACGTACTGCCACCGACATGCCATTCCACGAATCTATCTAAAATACCTGAACACAATAGCAACCAAGGTTGAAGCTGAGACGCTCCCGGTACGGTTCAGATGAAAACTGTAATATTACACCTCGTGATCCCCAAACAAACATCCCCCAATCAAATGAAAAAGCCACCAATCTTGCAAACAAAAGGCTTAGCTATTAGTCGAAACATTCTTCGGAGCTGGCCGAAGTAGCGCTCCGAGTAACTTAAGACTTGTAGCACTACTAACCGATGCCAGCCTTCTTCACTCCTTCTTACAGAAGATGCAGAAGATAAAAAGCAAAATAGCTTCCTTCCAAAAGCATACAAACAATTGGTTGTCTTCTGACTCCTGACGCAAAATATGATCCGTTAAATCTTAAAAAAGGTTTACTTTCCGTCGACGCGCTTGTCTCCGAGATTTTTCAGCGTTTGGATTGCTGTTACTAGGTCCTAATGTACAATGATCCCGATCACATCACGCCCGAGCTCACAAAGCTGCTCTCTTGACGGCAAGTGACCTGCTTGACACCGTCTATACAATTCGATGACTCCGAAAGTCGAAACCATCGTCACATTGCTCAATAATAAAGCGATTCAAGGATGCAAACGATGATATACGTCTACAAACTTCTCAAACCCCCCTCCCATCTATCTGAAAACTCCAAACTGTGAGGGCGAAAGCTGCTTTCACCCAAATGCAAAGGTATTTTGCCAAAACTTCACCACCCAAATCCCTAAAATCGACCACTGATACCTGCCGAGCGGATCTTTCTTTTCTTCACCAGCCTGCAGCAACCAGCGCTCTGGAAGTCACTTGATCGCTAGATTCAAGCGAGGTAAACTCCTTGGGCAAGCATGCGGATCGGTTGCCGTTGACGCATGCGCGGGTAGCGGTCGAGGAATCTCCGCTCCGTATGACAGTGTGCTGAGCCTGCCCACCGACCCGGTCTCTTATGCACTCGCATCAACTTTTGTTGGATCCCCAACCGCCCCCGACAACAGTGGAGCAGGTTGCAGGCCAGAATCGTCTCTAATAATACAGGAGTGCGCATGTTTAAACCAAATCCCCAATAAACCGTCAATTATCCTTGCCATTTGTGTGTTTCTGTGCTTCCCACAAAATTCACTACCTTTCTATGCAGCTTGTGTTCCGGCTTGCGTGTTGCCATCATCTCACTCTTCCAAAGACCTATTATGCCCGACTCCAAGACAGCGACGCCGGTAAGCCTCCACAGTTTCGCTGAACAGCATGTTCCTGTGATTCCTGTTACCGCTTAACCACTTTGCGAATCCTTTCATTTATCATTCCCACTTACGCTTTGTGTGACCCCATGACCATGACGCTATGACCTGGTGGCGTTTTGTACGTTTATTTTACTTCCATTATAACACTACGTGTTTCGTCAATTACACAATCGTTTTTTGCTTGAATACAAAG